CAATGTTAAATAATACTGATCTTAATAGCAACCTGTAGCTTTCATAAAAAACAAGTAAATCTGCACTGATATATCTGTGCTGACACACTCTGGTGTATCATCTGGCCTGATTCTGCTCTCATGGAGGCCACTATTATTGGTTTTACAAGGACTATTGCTAGATTGAAAAAATGCTATCCAGAAAAATTTTGAAGATTTAAAAATGCTAAATTAAAAAAATGTCCTAATCTATCACTTTGGGGGAAACAGTGATAAACTTCAAAGGATTAGGGGAACTGGGACTTCACCAGAACAGGACTATTTTGAGGGAGGAGTGATAGGTTGGAAGTAGTTCCTTGCTGAGGATGGGCTCTGTGTCCCTCCTCCAGCACAGTGGAAAGGCCATCCTATTCCTCTTCCTATGCCCTTGGCTTCTCTTTTCTCCTTTGTGGTGCTCAGCAATTTTACCTAGTTTATCCTAACAAAAGTCTCTTTTAAAATGGGACTGCCCCACAGAGTTTTTTTGCCATTGAGAAGTCAGTATTTGCCAACAAGATATTGTCAGAAAAGTCCCATTCGAAGTGGATAATCAAGGCTTTCATTGCAATGAACCCTCTCCTTCCGACTGATGATGTGGTGAGCAGAACCCTTCGTTTTGTTGGTAAATTCTTCCTACAAAATCATGGTGGACAGAACTGCAGGTAGTTACGTCCCAGCATGTCTGATTCTCCTGAAAAGGCCTCTCAGTTTTTAATGTTTCTTGCTAAGGCGAAATGAAAGATGAAGAGCAAGCTCAATTCTCTAAAATATAGTTTTGGAGTACTAATTCACACAATTGTCCTTCCTCATGTAACACCAATATTGGCTAATAGTGGAACACGATGTTCAGAGCAGCTCCTAGTGTAGAGAGGTGAGAAAATAAAATCCACAGAAGAAAATCTTCTATTTTGGTATACTTAACACATACAGTTATCTACGTGCCCTATATATCATTTAACAAATTGCTTTGCAATTCTTACAGGGCGTGGTATAATGACTGATTTAAAATCACTGCATTGCTTAAACTGCATTGTTCTTCATCAAGTTGAGTCATTTTTATGTGAGGTGTCAAGCTCTCTAACAAATAACTGCTGCCAGACAAATCAAGTTCCTCATCTTAAAGCTACGGCTAAATAGTTTATAGCTTTAATCTGCTCACTGAGGTGTGCAGTCTATGACAGTAATTATAAATGCAAGGAGAAATTATAGCTGAATGCTTTAACTGCATTAGGAGCCATTTGATGAACAATCATGATTGCCTGCTCATTTTCAACAATAGAGGGCAAGTTAGTGTCAGTGCATTAGAGGATTTTCAGTTCTGCTCTGCTCTTTCTTCCATTTACCACAGAATGTCAGTTGTCTCCTATAAAGTAGAAAAAAAGCACTGTAGAAGCTTTAGACTTGATGGTTAAAAGAAGACAAAGGAGGAAACAGAGAAAAACTGTTTATCATTATGACTCATTTTTTTTTGTTTTGCAGCAGCTTTACTTTCAAATTAGTTCATCTCAGGTAGCTGCTTGTTTACTTATCAAGCTCTTTTGAAAAAGAAATCTCCCCAATCAAGTTGGTAAATTTGACTCTATAGAGATTTATTTCTCTAAAAAGTTGTAGATAAGACCACAGAGACCCTTGGTTACTGATCAATTTATAGACAAATTCACCTGACTTTAAACTGAGAAAAACAATTCTGCTTTGTCTTTTTTCTCAGGACAACATAAAGATTCTAATTTAGTTGAAAAAATGAACAAATATTCTTCAAAGGTATAAGTCAACACACAAATTACTTCTAATTAAAGCCATGTTCCCTAATGTTCATGGGTTTTCTTTGAAGAATAGCAATAAAACCAAATTTGAAGCAGGTTAAATGAAAAAGACTAGAGACATCCGATTGTTGTATATTACACATAATTTTACATTATATTACTCAACCCGTATCAGTTAGAAGAATTCAAGAAAACACCAAAGATGAATATAAAACAGATATATACATCTTTACATTTAAGAAGAATTTATAGCAAATTTCTTATGAACAGCCTCACAGAGGTCTTAAAAATAAATCCATATACATAACACATTTTTCTACAGTACTAACCCAGATTATTCATTTATATTTTTAATGATAGCTAACATTATAAAATATAGCCTTTAACAGTAAATTTCATTGAAATATAGGAAGTATTTTATGTATTTCTATACTTCGAGTACTCTTTCCACTTTTTATTTCTGTTTATTTCCATATATTTTCTCTATTTTTATTTCTGTTTCACTACAATATTGCCTAGAAGAAGTAAATGAAAATGCATGTGTGCATTTTAAGAATCTCGGTATGCTTTATATTTCTTGTTTCTAAATACTGTGCTCTCCTCTATGTTATTATTCAAATGTATACTGAATCTTAAAAATAACATGGTAAGAATAAGTAAACTCTGAAAATCCCTGTTATTTGATTCAGTCTCCTTGCAGATCTCAGGAAGAAACTATATGAATAAACACTGGCCTCCACACTTCTAACATAGTCAGAACTTCAGTAGGCTTACGGCTCCAAAACTGTAATAAAATCTTTACAATGCTATCCAAAATACCCCATCATTTCATACAATTTGTGCTATCATGCATACCAACTAAAATTATAGTTCCAGATAACAGTGCTATCACTCTGTCATTGCAATTTAAATATATTTTTTCAAAGGTAAGATACAACCTGCATCTTGATATAAATTAGAAATGGATGAGTATTAAGAGGACAGCAATTTCTCGGTACCCAAAGGCAGGAAGGACAGTACCTTATTTATGTAGTTACGTATCACCTGAATAATACCTGCAGTGTGTCTGTGCAGGTTATTACAATACAGAGACCACTTTTTCTTCCCCTGGAGATTTTTTTTTCTTTGTGTCTGTTCCCCAAATCCTCAGAAATAGTAACATGTTTATAAAGGTGGGTGTTTGGTTTGCCTCTTAGTAATAACACAGTGGTTTTAAGACCAAATCTGAAACATTTGTCATGTATTAAGCCATGAATGTGCCAAAATAACTGTTACATTAATATATTTGGCAGATAGCTTTTGTTTGATAGTACCCAAATTATTGGTTTACTCTAATATCTCCTATGCGAAAACTATGAATGTCAGAGTTCTAATAATCATTAACTGATGGGGAAGGAAACAAGGTATGGTACATTTTTCCTAACCAATCTCTTGTAGTTTTCTGATATTTTGTCAGGTATGTTGATTTTGAATAGTCAGATAAATAAGAAACATTTATTTATTGTGTTCTAATGTTGAATTAAAGATACCAAAATAGAAACTTAAGGGTATTAGCCCCATTTAGAAAACAAACCCCCTTTGAGTCAGAAAATATTTTGCTGGCTGAAATACGCAGAAAGCATAAATCTAGTCAAATGCAGACGGCACGTACAAGATGTATGCAAAACTTAAATCTTATTGCACTTGAATACTGATGTTATACTCTACAGCAATAGCTTCTATTACCCATCCCAAAGTAACCCTTTGATTAGCGGTTTAAATTATTCAGAAGTAGCCTTTTTAATGGAGCTTAAGTGATGCATAGTCCTTGTGCTGGGTCTGTACACAGAAAGTGTTTCTTAAAGCTTCATGAATATTTGCAGCAAACAAATGTGAAATCTTCACACAAACGGGTATTCATTCTCAAAGTGCCTGCACTCGCAATTAGCCAGAGAATAGCCACAATAGCAGGTGGCGTAAGTGACAACTCACAACACATCTTTAATTTTGGCTGTCTGATGAATTCATTTTCTGAATGTTATTCAAGTAATGAACACGTTGGAGAAAATCTGAAGCTGTACATGATTATTCTGTGAACAGAAGCAGAGCCTGAGTCTGCTGGAGAAATTCTTGGGAATGACTAACAGACCCCTCCTGGAAATAAACTCATTAGAACAAAAAACTTCTATTTGGACTTTCAGTTGATGTTCTGCATATTTATTTAAAACAAGAATATTCAAGTTTGTGAATCAAGTAAAATTAAAATGCAAAAATTGTGTGTCATCTGAATATTACATTACATGTTATAAACATTGGCTGTGGCAGTACTTGAGTTGGTGTTTCTTTCAGCAAAAAATAGCAACACTAATGTAGAAGTATCCTACTAACAGGTCTCTGAAATATTAAGGTTGTAAAAAATCTAGCTGCTTTCTCAATTAAGCATTAACTCCCCAAGGTTATATGAAAACTTGCACTGAAGTCAGTGATGTTTATGGATTGACTAGCACTCCCACCAACATGAAACAAAATAGAAACAAACATCTTAAAGATTAAAAAGGAATGATGGAGAGATAGGTTAAAATGATGCAACAAAAAAGGCCACTCACAATAATAAGTGAAAACTAAGTGTAAAATTTTAAAATATTTTACAAAACTGAGTATTCAAATAGCAACAAAAGAATAATCAAACTTCTAGATATAAACTTTTCAGAGTTATCTGTAGATTCTTGAGGCCGGGTTTGAGATTATGAGAAACTTGGAATAATTAAGATTTTGCTAATTTGACATTTGAATCGTCTTCTTTTCCCCCGTCAAAATCAGATTTACTGGTTTGTTAGCACTGAGAGAGGTAGTAATCTTTTGATTTTCAGTGCTTTTTTTCTGCTTTTTCCATTCTCATTGCAAAGAGTAGCATTGAGTTGTTGCATTCCACATTGAAATGTATAGGATGTGAAATGATTAATTCTTAGAAACAAAAAAGAGAGTGAGAACTGGGAAAACAGCCGTTTTGAAAATATTAATAAGAAGCAACTTTTTTATAAGGGCAACATCTTTATGCATTTACCAAGCTCTCTCCTTGAAAACGCTATAAAACGGATACGTACATGCAATTAGATTAATGAAGAAGTACATTATGCATTTTATACTGTTTTCCTGCTTTTAAGAAAGTACGAATGTCTTACGAAGCCTCCTTAAAATGATGAAATTAAAACTCGCTATAGAGCATGCATACCTTAAGAGTTATTCTTCATCCACTTCTGCTACAAATTGTGAATGGTGTTCTGGTGACTTGCTGTGTGTTTTGCTTAGATGAAGTTTTACTGCATGTTTGCTCGCAAATGTCCGACAGCACAACTTACATTTGAACTTAGAGTCTGTGTCCTCTTCTCCAGCTATTGTTTCAGGAGACCTTTGAACTGAAACTCTGGAGATTTCTTGCTCTACCTTGGTTTGCTGCTCCACAGCCAGCCTGTTCATGTCTTTCATTTGGAAACCTAGATGGGATTCTAAGTGGCTAATGTAAGTAGATGGGGTTCGAAACTGAGATGCACAGTCGCTGCAATAAAAGACTGGATGTCCTTTGTCCATGTTTTTCAAAAACTTTGTTCCTCCGGTTTTCCTAAGTTGATACTTGACATTTGCCAGCCAATGGCTAATGGTGGTCATTGACAGTCCAGTAAATTTTGAAATCTGCATGCGCTCTTGTGGGCCTAGATCTGATAATAAATATTTACCTTCAGATGTCTGGAAGAGGCTGGAAGCAAACTGAGCTTGCAAAATAAGAAGATGTTGAGGGTTCCAGTTTGACTGTCTGCCCTTCCTTTTATGCAGAGTGGAGACTTCTGTTGAGACATCCTCAAAACGTCGGACATCTATTTCCAATTTCATAGATGGGATCCTTGAAGACGCAGCAGGTTTTGGTGTAGTAGCTTTGGGAAGAACTTTGACCATGTCAGCGATGTCCGACAGAGCATGTTTTTGAGGTGGAGAAGTACAAGATTGTGCTTGAGCTGACTCAGCTTTCTTGCCTTTGGATTTGGTCAGGTCAATAGGCTGATCATTGTTTTCAAACAAATAGTGCCTGGATACACTTGCAGGCTTTGGTGGGGTTGGAGCAGGAGATAAAACTGGCTTCTCCATCATATTTAGATTAGGTTTGTGAAACATAGAAATTGTGCTAGAGCTGGGGCTGGAGTTGGATTGAGGCTGTAAAGGCTCAGTGGCTTTGCCCAAGTGATTATTCAGTACTGACTGCAGAGCACTGAGAGGGTTGACACAAGGCAGTTCAGACGAATGGTTGGCAGCAGCACAACCATTACTAAGAGAAGCTGCTGTTGGTTCCTTGAGGAGTGGTTTTTCTTTTCCGCTGTCCTCTTTAATTTTGTCTTCTTCTTTCAGGGGAAATGGTTCTGTCTTTTTTGGCTCCACAGGGACTTCAGATTTGAGAGGCGCTCTCTCACTCTGGTTGAGTGAGGCAGGCTCAGCTTGGATGCCCTCTTTAGCATAGTCCTTTTGTACCTCCTCCTTGTCATCAGTTTCCTTCTTCACTTGAGTGCACTGGGCCACATTTGCTGAGATAGGGACCAGAGGCATGACCTTCCACTTTGGGGCTATGGGCCTCAATTTGTTGGTGATCGTTGGCCGAATTTGCAGTACTTGGGAACCCACAGGCAAAGATGGCTTAGCTCCTTCGGAGAGCTGATAAGCTGCATGGATGCTGGGATATGCACTCCAGCTGGGCGCTCCATTTTGAGCTTTATTGATGGCTGTTGTGACAGTGTTCTCCAAGGACTTTAAAATATCTCCACCACCCTTTGAACCATCTTCTAAATCTTCTTCTCTGAGGTACTGGTATTTCATTGTGGGATCCAGTGGTTTCTGAAGAGTGTCTTCATACTCTTCAGTTTTTACTGCTTTCTCTTCTTTGTTTGCATCATCAGCTTTATCTTTTTTACTTTCTTTTTTCAGTTCAGATGTGGGAGCTATGCATTCTGCAGATGATTTACTGGTTGATTTTGAGATCGAGCTGTCATTGGCTGGTGCTTCAGACAGCGATTGCATTTTTTCCACAGCTAAAGGATCCAGAACAAGTTGCTTTCCCTTCTTTGAAGCTGAACTTGTGACTTTCAAGAAATGGCCCGTGACCATCATGTGGGTTGTGAGCTGCTGCAAAGTATCATGGGAACTTCCACATTCCATACACTTCAAAATCTGGGATTTGCAGGCCTCAAATTGCCATGTATAGCTGGCACCATTCTGGTAGCCATAGCGGTTGTTAGATGATAACTGCAGGTTCGCATTCTTATGAGGAGAAAAAGTATCTGAGAAAGACCCCGTTGTGGAATCGGGGGAACAAGGCCTGTTAACATCAAACACACGTTTCTTTGCTGGAGTGACCATTTTTGAAGAAATGGTTGGTACCGGCTCCTTCAAAGGCACTTTTTGGTAATGTTTTGTTTTTATCATATGAACACTCAGATCTTGAAGGGAATCAAAAGAGTCACCACAGAACATACATTTCAGAACTTTTTGTGCATCTTCCTTGTCCATGTCCTGGAAAGCCCTTTTTCGGGGCTTTGAGTAGCTGGTAGGTCTGTGCTTGTCCTTTTTATGGTTGTCATCTTGGTAGTGACCTGTCTCATTCATATGAACCGTTAGTTCTACCAAAGTGTCATAGGCAGCGCTGCACTGTCGGCACCGAAACCGGCTGGCGCCTGTGAACACAGTTCCACACATTTTGCTGCTCTGCCTGTAGAGCTGGACTGAACTGAACAGGTTGGGTTTCGAGACAGGTCTGGAAGGTAAATTCTGCTGTAAGCTTTTTGATAGTGCGTCTTGGTGCCAATCAAAATCAGCTTTGTTACCTCCATTTCTGTTGTCACAACTCCTCTTTTCAGAGTTAGACAACTTGAAACCCAGCCCTAAGCCTGTCCAATAAGAGTCTGACAGTATGTTGGCATAGACTGCTGTCATTTTATCCATGCAATCATGTGCTTCGTTCTGGGCTTTGGGACGGGCGCTGTTTTTTGTGTCCTGTGGCTCTCTAGAGCAAATGCTTTTAATATCTGTCACATGGTCACTACCATCACTTAGTAGTGATTCATTTTCTGCATCCTGGTTAGATATATGACTGACAGGGGAATTCTGGTAACTAAAGTTCCCTTTCTGCTCAGGACCCACTTCGTGTTCTTCATCCGTGCCAGTGTCATTGCTGCCCTGGAGTTGAGCAATCGAGTTGTTGTCATCATCATCTTCTTCCTCCTCCTTTATATCCTCCTCTTCCTTTAAATCTTCCTCTTGGACATAACCTGAAATGTAATGTCAATATATGAAACAACTTGTTAAAGGAGAACACTATAGTTCGAGTTTCCTAGTTTCACTATGTGTTTTCTCTACCGGACTTCGTTTTAATCTACAACTTTATTGCCAGTTAGTTCTGCAAGTGAAAAAAAACAAATGATGTCTCTTTTTGTGAAGGCTGCTGCATTTTGTTGGCAGATGATCATAATTCTTTATAATTGTCAGAGATTCTGAGTTAATAATTTTGCTGTCATGGAAGTGTAATTCTAACTAAATGTCCTGTAATGGGACAGTTGGAAAATTCATATGTAAGAATTTAAAGTTTATACTAAAAGCTTCAATTCTATCAAATTGCTTCTAGCCTCAGTGAAAGAAAGGGTAGAATTGATTAGGAACATAAGAAAAATAACTTCCATAATCTTCCTGGTTCACAGCGTCATCTAGGTACAGTAACCTTTTACCATTTGATCAGCTAAAAATGCACTTTAGAATGTACGCAAATAATTTGTATGTCAAAATACAACATCTGTAAGTGCTAATAGGCGTAAGTGGAAGTCTTTTGTTTATAAAAGTAATATACTGTGTACCATAAAAGCAAATTGTACTTCAGCAAAAGCAAATCCATAAATTTCAGGGCAAGAACCCTTGGAAGTTACAGGAGAGTATTAGGATGTGACAAAGGTAGACCAAAGTTAACTGTGAAATTGGAAAAGTAGAACAAAGCCAGAAAGATTCTTTGACAAATTAACTATTTAATTAATAAGATGAACTTGATACTGGAAGAGCTGTAAATTTTAAAATTAATTAAGCAATTCAGGGTTTTTGTTTCCTTTTTTTTTTTGTTTGTTTGTTTTTTTCTGGCCTTACATCAGCAGTAATTCTGCCTAAGTTACATGAGACAACCTGAAAACAGACTGAAGAATTAGAGAAGAGGATTTTTAAGGGTGAACTGTCTCTGTTGCAGTTGGTGGATAAATTCACAATGACTCAACACAGTCAGCGATTCACTCCCAGACCTCCACAAGAAGGGATGGAACTTTCAGATTCCAAAACATGTTTACTGTCAAGCCAAAGAGATGAACTAGAACTAGAGGAACTGTTTCCTGGATGAAGCTGCAGTATAAGAAGAGGTAAATGATGGCGTGCTCTGTGGATGGGCTGAGAAACCCACGTGAGTCATCTTTCCTCCACCCTTCCCACGGTCTTAGGATCTGCACAGGTCACACCGGCTTAGAACTGGGCTTGGCTTACTCCAGGGGTGTTATCACACAGCTTCACAACCAGAGGCAAAGGTAATAGCAGTGGCTATGAGTAAATGACCTTGAAATCATTTTAGCATGACAAAATAATAATCACATAGTAGTAGGAACACTGTGGTCTTCAGCAGATGCTTTCAGCAAAGAAGCTAAATATTAAATATTAAGTGTTAAATACTAAAACTTAAGACTTTCAGTGGTGTGTTGGCGTACAGCAAGTATTAGTAGCCCAATTTATAGGTGATCAGACTGAGGCAGGTAGCAAAGACAACGCTAAGAACAAATTTTTTTCTCCTTCCTAAACTTTTCCCCTAAAAACCTGACAATACTTTCCATGTACTCCTTTCTGAGCTCATATGTTTTTCAGAGGGACAAGGAGAACGGAGGGACAAGGAGGCGGCAAAAGCTCCTACACGTCATGAGTAGTAACCTTGTTAAACAAGCAGCATGAACTGATGAGCAGGACTGACATGATTCTCGCGGTGTTAGAGATACTGTACAGCGTAGGTAGCGACGCTGGCCCCGTGCCAGGATGTATCACAGTGCCAAGCATATTACACTGAGCAAAACAAAAATAAGGAGGGAAACCAATGAAGGAATCAGACAAAACAGACAACAAATAACATTCACACAGTTTTGGGTCGGTGCAAATTTGATTCTCCATTTCAGCACCAATTCTTTGGATACTATTAACCCATTTTTCACCAGAAGGTAATTTTTTCCTTTGGAAGATACATAAAGTAGTTTATTCCTCACAGTATCCTTTGTCCTTCTTAAAGGATTTACTAGGAGAAGCAGAAGTACCAGACAGCTGCACATCCCCCACAATACAGATAAAATTTTCTGCTTAATTAGGCATTGACATGTTTACCATAACCTTTACAGAAGAGTAACTCGCGCTAGAAAGCCTCTTTTTTTTGTGTCTGTGTTAAGATACAAACACAATCTTACAAAAGTAGTAAAAGTAACTTATTAGAAAGCACCATCAAAATTTCACAAAACCATCACTCAGGTCCATTTCAATGGTTAAGGGTTCTGGGCAGCTTTGAAAATGCATTCCAGTATCCTACTTGTAAAATCATTTCTGTTTATGTAAATGATTTAAATTGCGGTGGGCATTTTAAGGACAATGGAGACCTGGGCAGACAACCTAAGGTACAAGAAATGCACACGTCTTTCCAACAGTGTTTTTTAGTAAGATTTCATTGGACATGAAGTTTGATATGAACTGATGTAATTATTTAACAAAAATAACATTAATTTAAGTGGACTTTGCATTATTTATTTTATAAGGTAAAGGTGTCTTAAGTGTGTACACCCACATGCTTTAAATGCAATGTCTAATAAGTAAGTAGCATAAATTTTGCATGTCATACTGATGTCCATATAATATATTGTTGAGTGTCCTGTTCTCTTCCCACCAGTTCTCTGCCAGGCTTATTCTGACACTCCAAACCTCTGAGATGCTCACATATCGCTGTCTTACAGAAAAAAAAAATATTAAAAGATTAAAGAAATCCAAGCTCAGTAACCAGATGGATGCTTCCTCATTTTCCCAGACAAGGATTTTTCCCACTGAAATTAAACAGATCCAGGCAGAGATGTAAGATGGGCAATGTGCAGTCCTGAAGAAGTGGGGGACTGAAATTTCACTATCATCTTAAAGACTGGAAAAACCCCAAGAGCTTCAGAGCATTGAACGGAAGCAATTTCTGGCTTCCTAAATGAAAATATGGTTTTTTGGGTTTTGTGCTGATTGATCCCAAGATAGTATATGCCAAAATCATGACATCAGTAACATTATTATTATATGGATAATAATCATAAATACAATTCTAAAATGTTTTAGCTTTTAAAAAATTTTTCCTTTGTGCCTCTGTGATTGAATCCACGGTAACAAGAAACTTGCTTCTTTAGGACAAAGGTTGCAATAAACAGCTGATTCTTTATACTTCAAAAGATAACATTTTCTTAGATATTTCTAACATATTTCCAGAGAGTAGCTAAAAGAAAGCAGTTCCAGTTAATATGCCTGCAAAAACTCTTCTTTGAACTTACGTGTCTAAAACCACCCACATCCACCTTGAAGCCTTGACCCTACTATGCAGACAGCACTGAGCCAAGCTCCTGGTGATGCTGAATCCAGTACTGACTTTCAGGCCCTTGCACCCCTGACTAACCTGTACTTTGCACCACGTTATACACCACTTCTGACCTTGAATTGTAGAGTGTGAACACGTCTTTTTTTTTTAAGTGTTCATTCTGATTGTTAACTTTTCCACCAGTGGATGCTATTTTCACTCAAATTTGCTCTTTTTCCACATAGAGAAACATTTCTTAAAATATATATATATATATATACACACATACACGTTCCTTTCCAAGACTGGAAAATTTATTTTCTGCCAAGAAAGGGGACAGTGATTCATTGTCCAGAACAACACTACTAATCCATGTAAAACCCATGCACCATCTGCACTTCTTCATATATATATTCCACTTTTACTTGAAATAACATCATTAATAGAGCAATCTCACAATGCTATAAGGTGATCTTGTTTCCTTCTTGTCTGGCTTCAGCTCAAACATCTTCTTGTGTTTGGCAGAAACTATTTCTTTCTCTGAAATATTTCATGCAGATAATGGATAATGACCACTTCTCTTTCCTTTTTCTCAAAAATGTCTAACTACATTAGCAACCCAAAGACAAATCTTAACCTGGCTTTTTGTCGAAGTTCATAGCTATAGATTCATCCCAGTTTGAAAACCAACTGAAGAGATAAATTGGCCCCTGAGGAAAAAAAATCCCTACTCCGTTGCATAACTCTTATATCAAAGACATTTTGGAATTCAACAGGATTAAAACCGATGCAACACTCTGGAAATGCAATGGAGTTTCATGGAAAGAACTCTCAAAATATGAAATTCATAATACAAGAGTGAATTATATAATTTCAGAGCTTTATAGGCTACATAAAAAATTTCTGTACCAGGGAAATAACTTCCTTTTAAGTTCTGCAAAATGGAAAGAAAATGCAAGGAAAGGTTACCATTCTCACCACGGAGGGAGCAGAGAGCATCTGGCTCAGAATCCTGGATGTCAGAGACGAAGGAGTGCCTCTGTCATCTAATCTAAATGTCCTGGTAGTGTGAGGTTTACTTCTAAAGCCATGTGATCCTCAGGAAGGTTTTAGATATTTAGAAAAGGCTGAATATGCTCAATTGCCTCTTCTCTGGGAAGCCAGTTAATTCTTTTGGATAATGGGAAATTATTTGCACCTTTTGCTGCTATTACTATTTACTATCACATCCAAATTCTGTTTGCAGAGGTTCAGTATGGAAGTTTAGATCATCACCCTAGGGATGGAATTTTGTGTCCAAAACAACTTGTCATCTCAAAGGAGAGATTTTTCCAAATATTCTTTTGCCTTTTTTTTTAGAACTTTATTTTTCAAATAGTTATAGCAGCTAAGGGCATGAATTTCTGCCTCTTCCAGAGTAGGAAAAGAAACATCCACTGCCATCCACTGCTGGAGGACAGAAGCAACCTCTGTGGCGCCAAGTGTGCAAGCCACTGCAGCTTAGAAGCAAGGAAACTTGGAGTGGCTTCTACCATAACTGAATTGTAGCATGCAAAGGCAATTCCTTGGAGCCATCACTATTATTTAAATATGATGCTGAAATGAAGTAATTTTGGGCTTTCATTTTGTTGTACTCTAATTAGAGTTGCATTATAAAATTTTATATTAAACATAA